CGTGCTGCTTTTACTCAAAACTTATTTTCCTCTGCATTTGATTAGGCGTATGGAAATCACCAGTTGAATCTGAACCTTTCTCTTATCGTGACCATCAATGGCCGAGATGTCTATTCATCACCCAAATTCAATTCAACTGCAACTGGATTTCTTGGTTTTGGTGGGAATTGCTCTGCTTCCAACAAGTCAATATATTGGTCTAGTAGGATGAAAATAGTTTACAAAATTTCTGACGGAAATTTCCGTCAGAATGTCCCAAAGAAATTTTCGACAGAATTTCTGTCAGAAATGTACCCTAGAAATTTCTGACAGATACTTCCGTCAGAAATTTCAGACAGAATTTTTTGACGGAATTTTCTGTCGGAAATTTTCGACAGAAATTAGCATTTCTGACGGAATTTTTTCTGACAACACTTTTTTCGACGGATTTAAATCCGTCGAAAATCTTTCGAAAACGCCAAATTCCGTCAAAAATTTACTTGTTTCCGTCGGAAATTGGCATTTTTCTTGTAGTGCAAAGACATCACATGATCGCTAGACTCTTCTCCTGCGCACCTATGCCAAGGCATCCCGCAACCACCTCAAGCAGTTAAAGGAGCGTCTCCACACGGCGTCCAAAGGTACCCAATCCATCACCACCTACATGCATTCTCTGAAGCAAACTGCAGATCTCCTTGCCTCACTTGGCTCTCCTGTCTTCGTTGAAGACATGACTTACCATGTCTTGCGTGGTCTCGACAACGGCTACAAAGCTGTCATTGACGGCGTCAATGCAAGGGACACTGCCATTCTTTTTTATGATCTCCTCGAGAAGCTTCTCATTCAAGAACTCTCCCTTGTTGCTGCTCAACGGAAGGTTCCTGCTCCCATGACAGCCTTGAATGCATAGGCACGACCCAACCATTCTGACAAAACTCGGTCTGGGCAATTTTCTGCATCATCCACTTCACGCCCTGGCAATCGCAAACTGTTTCTTGGTCGCTGTCAGTGGTGCAATGTCAAGGGTCATGTTCTGTCTCAGTGTCACACCTTCAAGCAGCAGCACCCTGGTGTCCCGCCACCTCCTCGTTACTCTTCTGCTAACCCTGGACAGGTTCAGGTCCATACTGCAACTACTGGAACCTCTCAATCTAATTTTCTGGTTGATTGTGGAGCAACGCATCACGTCACCAATGATCTTGCCAATCTAGCGCTTCATCATCCGTACATGGGTCCAGACTCACTGTTTATGGGTAACGGTTCAGGTTTAAACATCTCTCATTCTGGAACACTTTTACTTAACAATTTATCCCTCTCAAATACTTTGTGTGTTCCTTCCATGCAACAGAAAATCCTTTCTGTCTCTCAGCTTACTAAACAAACTTACTTTGCTGTTGTTTTCTTGCCAAACTCTTTTCATGTGAAGAACTTGCAGATGGGTCAAACAACCCATATAGGCTCATGTGTGGATGGACTCTATCTCTGGCCAGCCAACTCCCCGTTCGTCCACTCTGTCCGCACAGAATCCTCTGCTTCATGGCACCATAGACTTGGGCATCCCTCCTCTTCTATCTTCACTTTCATTCAGCAACATTTTTCTTTGGGTTCAAATAAATTCCAGCAATCAGATTGTAACTCATGTCAAATTAGCAAAAGTCATAAACTTCCTTTCCATGAATCCACTCTTAAATCATCTTATCCTTTGGAAATAATTTTCTCTGATGTATGGACTTCCCCTGTTTTATCAATTGATGGTCTTCGCTATTATTGCATGTTTGTTGATCATTTTACTCGTTATATTTGGCTATATCCGATAAGACGTAAATCTGATGTACAAACTCTGTTTCCCAAATTTAAATCGCTTGTTGAAAATTTCTTTCATCACAACATCAAAATTTTTTACACGGATAATGGTGGCGAATATATTGGTCTTCGTCTATTTTTAAGCACTCATGGAATAAGTCATCACACCATCCCACCTCATACACTTGAACACAATGGGATTTCTGAATGTTGAAATCGACACATTACCGAAACTGGTCTCTCTCTTCTCCATCACTCGGGTTTGCCCCTCACATATTGGCCTCACGCCATGACAACAGCTGCCTATCTCATCAATCGGCTCCCAACACCAATTCTTGGGTACCAGTCACCCTATTCCAAATTACTCAAAATTAGCCCGGATTATCATAAGTTAAAGTGTTTTGGTTGTTTGTGTTTTCCCTGGATTAAACCATATGCTAACCATAAACTAGCATCAAAGTCTGCTATATGTGTTTTTGTAGGTTACTCGGATGATCAACATGCATACTTGTGTCTCGATCCAACCACTGGAAGGATCTACACCTCTCGCCATGTCAAGTTCGTTGAATCTGAATTCCCGTACAACTCCCTAGTCCCTCAAGCCAGTCTGAGTTCAGAGCAACAACAAGGCCCACTACAACTCTCCATACTCCATCCCATAAACCAACCCATGGTCAGTACCACTCTAAACCCACCGGCAAAGGTCTCGGCTGCCCCTTCATCTTCATCCCTCACCAACTCCCCCACTCTGGCCCCACCCTCCACTGGCCACTCCGAGTTCCCTCCCTCACCTCCAACCTTAACACCATCCCCACAATGTTTTGTGCCACTATCTCAACCCGCTGTCAACCCTCACAAGAGACCCTAACCCGATGGGGGTGGCATCATCACCTGGTCTAAAAACAACATTGTCAAGCCCCTCAAGAAGCTTAACCTCCATGTCCATCCCTCTCTTCCACTCGAACCCAACACCATCACCCAAGCTCTTCGCGACCCTGATTGGCACTCAGTTATGCAAGTTGAGTTTGACGCCTTACACCACAACAACACTTGGGAACTTGCCAGTCGGTCCTCTGCTCAAAATTTGGTTGGCTGCAAATGGGTTTTTCGAATCAAACGACACCTGGATGGTTCGATTGATCGATACAAAGCTCGACTAGTCGCTAAAGGTTTTCACCAACACCCTGGTTGGGACTATACAAAGACGTTCAGACCGGTTGTTAAACCGGTCACCATTCGCATTGTCCTCACACTTGTAGTTCATCAACGATGATCCATCTATCAACTCGATGTCAACAATGCGTTTCTTCAAGGGACGCTCAAAGAGGACGTATTCATGCTCCAGCCCCCTGGTTTTGTCGATAAAAGTTTCCCTGATCATGTTTGTCGCCTCAAAAAGGCACTCTATGGACTAAAGCAAGCACCCCGCGCCTGGTATACAGAACTTCGCACGTTTCTCCTTTCTCTTGGCTTTGTCAATTCAACTATAGATGCCTCTCTCTTCATCTACCAGAAATCAGGTTCCACACTATATTTATTAGTATATGTTGATGATATCATTGTCACTGGGAGTTCCTCTATAGAGCTGTCCAACCTTATTTCCACCCTTGCTGCTCGGTTTTCGCTGAAAGACCTTGGATGTCTTACCTATTTCTTGGGCGTCGAAGTAATTCCTTCGGCTACAGGACTCTTTCTTTCGCAAAGGAAATACATCACTGATCTACTCCAAAAATCAAGCATGGCTAACACCAAATCAGCATCCACTCCCTTGTCCACCAGTCCACTCATGGGAAGTCTACAATAATTAAGTATTACTCGCCCGGACATCGCCTTCAGCACCAACAAACTTGCGCAGTTCATGCAACACCCCAGAACGGCGCATTGGTCTACCCTCAAACGGGTGCTTCGTTATTTGGCAGGCTCTTGCGACAAAGGCATCTTCATCTCGGAAACCGCTCCGCTAACCCTTCATGCTTACTCAGATGCAGATTGGGGGTTCCAGTAGTTGCAGTATGGACCTGAACCTGTCCAGGGTTAGCAGAAGAGTAACGAGGAGGTGGCGGGACACCAGGGTGCTGCTGCTTGAAGGTGTGACACTGAGACAGAACATGACCCTTGACATTGCACCACTGACAGCGACCAAGAAACAGTTTGCGATTGCCAGGGCGTGAAGTGGATGATGCAGAAAATTGCCCAGACCGAGTTTTGTCAGAATGGTTGGGTCGTGCCTATGCATTCAAGGCTGTCATGGGAGCAGGAACCTTCCGTTGAGCAGCAACAAGGGAGAGTTCTTGAATGAGAAGCTTCTCGAGGAGATCATAAAAAAGAATGGCAGTGTCCCTTGCATTGACGCCGTCAATGACAGCTTTAGAAATTAATTTAAGCTGATTTTGGGAGTAGTAGGAGACAAACCCAATCCTTAAGACACTTATAATTTGTTGTGTCCAGAATAGAGTCACAAAAAATATACTATTAAAAAACAGAACTTAAAATTTATGAATTCAGTTACGAGGATGATTTGGCACAAATTGTGCAATTAAAGAAGTCAAGAGATGCAGATTTAATTAGACTTCTATCCATCCAAGGATTCAAAGACATTGTAGGTGGGAAGATTGAGAGCTGAATATTGTGATAAGCTTCCATCTAATCAAGAGATACACTTATGATACAGTGCATGTGCCAAAGTGTGCTGATAAAAATAAGGGTAATCGGTGCATCGATCCGAAACAAGAACAAGCACTTTCATGGAAACATAATTAACCAAACATATTAGCTGTATGTAACATATAACTAAGGCAAGAGTCGTCCACTTTAACCCCATCCCCCCAAATGAGTCCAAGATATGAACTTAACTAGAAATCAGATTAGGTAATTACTGTTCTAAATGAATAGGAATCATTGAATTGACATACAAGTGTCTATGAAGATAAATATTAATTACCAGAGGATTCAACTTTGATATTACTGATTTCACACTATCGGTAATATCATATAGCGCCAGCTAAATAGGAAACTATTGATATGATTTTGTGCTAGACTGCTAGTTTAAAAGCTTGGTTACTTACTACAAACCATACGTGGCACTCTCTTATCTGATGTGTACACATAATATAAAAATACTAACAATGGTTCAAAATTTAAATTTAAATTTAAACACAATGTTCTTTAGCAAAGGAGTTAGGTGACAGCAGCATGTGTCATCCCCTTTTGTGCCTTTATATATTTATGAAATGCACACTTGATACAGAAATATAAAGAAACATTTTCAAGTCACATTCTTTTATTCGACTTATGAAAATGTTAACATTAAGCATATTGATTATGGGAAGCGTACAGTGTACAACTTAAAACGACATTTTTTACTGTATGAAGGTTTGCTGGGCTTTCTCCACGGAATTCCTCAGTAAGGATATTACTTGAGCTGGCTCAGGGGCTCCAAACACGGAACTTCCAGCAACAATGCAATTTGCCCCAGCTGATGCGGCCATGTCTATGGTTGAAGGCCCTAAACCACCATCAACCTGAAATTGAGCTTGTTTCAGTTGTTGCAAAAATAATATCATTACTAGTGTGCATGAGCATGCTAACACAAGCATTTAGGGACGGTTTCGATTATTTTATTTAGTGTACATGAGCTTATGAAAATAATTAAGGACTTATTGAATAAGTGCTTATTATATAAGCACTTATGTATAGGTTATTTTATAATCAAGGAGGAAATAGGGTTAAACTGATTCTATATAAGCTATAAGCTATTTTCATCTGAAGAACCTTTTTGAGATAAGCTGAAAATAATTTACGAACATATCATAACTTTATTTCATAAGTTCTCCCAAACACTTACACAGATGCCTTTGTTATAAGATAAGTCTAAATAAGCTATGAATAAGCTCTTCCAATAAGAACCTTAATCACCTCCAATCTCCGTGAATACAATAATTGAGCACTTAGAAATAATATTGAATGGGAAGTTTTGGTGAGAAACCATTATATAAAAGAAGTTAAAAGTGCAAAGGCAAAAAATAAATAAAAGACCATTTTTTCTTTTTTTAAAAAATAAAAATAAATGAAGAGAACATAAAAAAGTAAAACGTGAAAGATTTAACAAGTTCAAGAATCAAGCAAGCAGAAAATATCAATACTCTACTGTGTCTACAACCATGTGGAAAATATCATCTAACTTGAAAGTAAAGAAGTTAGAGACAAAAAAATGTGCTGAGGTACCTCTATGTCAAGTGATGGATACTTCATCCTAAGTATACGTACCTGGTTTGAAATTTCAAAATGGAAGAAAAAAAATTAACGAAAAGATAGATACAACTTGCATAATTGACAAGAAATTTCAGTCAAGGCCCACTACAGCTCTCCATACTCCATCCCATACCCATGGTCAGTACCACTCTAACCCCACCGGCGGAGGTCTCGGCTGCCCCTTCATCTTCATCCCTCACCAACTCCCCCACTCTGGCTCCACCCTCCACTGGCCACTCCGAGTTCCCTCCCTCACCTCCAACCTCAACACCATCCCCACAATGTTCTGTGCCACCATCTCAACCCGTTGTCAACCCTCACAAGAGACCCCAACCCGATGAGGGTGGCATCATCACCCGGTCTAAAAGCAACATTGTCAAGCCCCTCAAGAAGCTTAACCTCCATGTCCAACCCTCTCTTCCACTCGAACCCAGCACCATCACCCAAGCTCTTTGCGACCCTGATTGGCGCTCAGCTATGCAAGCTAAGTTTGACGCCTTACACCGCAACAACACTTGAGAACTTGTCAGACGGTCCTCTGCTCAAAATTTGGTTGGCTGCAAATTGGTTTTTCGAATCAAACGACACCCGGATGGTTAGATTGATCGATACAAAGCTCGACTAGTCGCCAAAGGTTTTCACCAACGCCCTGGTTGGGACTATACAGAGACGTTCAGTCCGGTTGTTAAACCGGTCACCATTCGCATTGTCCTCACACTTGCAGTTCATCAACGATGGTCCATCCGTCAACTTGATGTCAACAATGCGTTTCTTCAAGGGACGCTCAAAGAGGACGTCTTCATGCTCCAGCCCCCTGGTCTTGTCGACAAAAGTTTCCCTGATCATGTTTGTCGCCTCAAAAAGGCACTCTATGGGCTAAAGCATGCACCCCGCGCCTGGTATACAGAACTTCGCGTGTTTCTCCTTTCTCTTGGCTTTGTCAATTCAACTGCAAATGCCTCTCTCTTCATCTACCAGAAATCAGGTTCCACACTATATTTATTAGTATATGTTGATGATATCATTGTCACTGGGAGTTCCTCTACAGAGATGTCCAACCTTATTTCCACCCTTGCTACTCGGTTTTCGCTAAAAGACCTTGGATGTCTTACTTATTTCTTGGGCGTCGAAGTAATTCCTTCGGCTACAGGACTCTTTCTTTCGCAAAGGAAATACATCACTGATCTACCCCATAAATCAGGCATGGCTAACACCAAATCAGCATCCACTCCCTTGCCCGCCAGTGCTCAATTACTCAAGGATTCCGGTGATCTCTTACATTCCCCAACTGAGTATCGTGCACTCGTGGGAAGTCTACAATACTTAAGTATTACTCGCCCGGACATCGCCTTCAGCACCAACAAACTTGCGCACTTCATGCAACACCCCAGAACGGCCCATTGGTCTGCCCTCAAACAGGTGCTTCGTTATTTGGCGGGCTCTTGCAACAAAGGCATCTTCATCTCGGCAACCGCTCCGCTAACCCTTCATGCTTACTTAGATGCAGATTGGGCAGGTGATAAGGATGATTATATCTCCACTACTGGTTACTTGTTGTATCTCGGTAGCACTCCCATCTCTTGGAGCTCCTGAAAACAACGCTCTGTTGCTCGCTCCTCGATCGAAGCAGAATACAAAGCCTTGGCTGACACGGCCAGTGAGCTTCTATGGGTCCTACCCTTGTTCACTGAACTTGGTCACATGCCCCCAGCCAATCCGGTTATCTATTGTGACAATCTTGGTGCCACAACTCGCAGCGGTAAGCCTGGTTTCCAGTCTCGGATGAGACATATGGCCTTAGCCTATCATTTTGTTCGTGAAAATGTTCAAAAAGGCAAGTTTCAGGTGTCTTTTGTGTCTACTGATGATCAGCTTGCTGATATACTCACAAAGTCTCTGCTTCGCCCTTGGTTTGATTCATTATTGTCCAAGTTGCGTCTCTCTTCCGGATCGTCCAACTTGCGGGAGGATATCAATTATAATAATTAGTTTTTAAATTATAATAATCAGTTTTTATTAGCCAGCTTTTACATATCTGCTTTCCCTTTATTTAGGTTAACTGTTAGTGCTAAATTGGTGGAGTTTGTTCCCGTGATTCTTTTCAATTTACGTTATCAATTTGTATATTTATACTACTGTAACTCAATGACAAAATCAATCAAATTCATTCCAAACATTTTCCCATACGTGGAAGATTAATTTTAGAAAGAGTATTAAGTTGGGCAGAATTTTAAAAGGTTGGAAAATTAGTTCCATTGTTGGGTCATTCCACATTCCACATTCTCAAATCTAATTATCTTTTAGGTCCTCTAATTAATTGTGGTATGATTACTCAACAATCAATTAAGATACGAAAAGGGTTTGGGCATTCCTCAATTCGGGATAAAATGAAAAGACAATTCAGTTAACATAGAAAATGTCAGCAAACAATCAAATCAAGTTTCCTCAATCCCACATGAATACTACAATCATAGATTAAGAAATTAGTTCATCGTCTTAAAAGAGGAACGTCCTGGCATGGATAAAAGCAATAAAAACCTTGAGGGCTAAAAGTTGCCCCACAATGACTAGTAATGGTGACCGTTTTGCGATCTGTGTTGATTCTTGGAGTTTGAATGTAAGAGGTTCCTTTTGAGCTCTAGAGAAAATCTTGAGCCAAAAGGAAAAGAGAGTGGACAGAATTCGATATTAAAAATTCTAATAGCACCTCTTCGGCCATCCCAGTCACCAACTTATTGAAGGATTCTTTCAATTGGAATACTGAGGCAAAGGATGCTTTTACCAAGCACACATTGGCTATCACTTTAGCTCCCAGGTACAAGAGTAGGGGGTGTCTTGAGCCAGTTTGGCCACCCTATTGCATATTTCTCAAAAGAAAAAAAAAACTAGTACCCAAAATTTAGAGGCAGTCAACATACAGGAATTGTTGGCCATTACTAAGGCTTTAGCCAAGTTTAAGCTTTTTAATAGGTGAGTTGGATTAAGATTTTAAAAGATATTTTATTATAAAAAAACTTTATAATATTTAATTAAGATTTTTTTTAATATAAAAAGTTATATAATATTTAATTAAGATGATTAGGATTTTTTAAGAGTTCATCAAATTTTGATAATATTTAATTAAGACAATCAAATTTTTTTTAGAAGTATGTCAAAATCTAATGATATTCAATTAAGATTTTTTATTTACATAAAAAAGTCTATTATTATTCAAAAATTAGAAATTTTAATAGATTATTTTGAATACTGAATTTTTTGAGACTTTTTATTTTACATATAATTCACTCATCAAACAATATCACCAAAATCTTTGAGATTTTATATAACTTTTTTTTATATTCTATTTCTACTCTTTTTTTTTTTTTAAAATCTTTTCTCTTGCTTTTCTTGCTTGTCTCTCATATTCTTTTTTTTTTTTTTTCTCTCCTCTCTCACCATTCTTACTTATCTCTTTCTTCTTTTCTTCTCTATCTCATTTTATCCTTTTCTTTTTATTCATCTCCCTCAATTATCCTTATCTCTCCTCTTCTTTTCATATTTTTTCTCTCTCCTTCTTTATCGTCTTTCTTGCTTCTTTTCTCTCTCTACTATTAAAATTTTTAAATTATTAAAATTTAATTGTTTATTTTTAATAAAATTTAATATTGAAATATTAAATTTTGAAATATATATTCAAAAGAATTTGCAAGTCATGGTAATGACTCTCAAAATGAAAATGAAAAATTCAATTTACGCTATGCATCTTTAAGAATGTGATTGAGAGAATATTTATTATTTTTAAATATGCTTCACAATTTTTAAGTCAAAATCTCTATTTCTATTTAAAATACAAGCTAAAGTTGTATTAACATGTAACACTACATAACTTTGCAAAGAATGTCATTTAGATGAATTTTTAATTGAATTAGTAGATGAATCTTTATCTTCAATATACATGTTAATGAAGACCATAATTTTAAACATATATTGTTCATACTCAAGTTCATGAAAGAAAATATATCAATTCATAAAGGATTAGTATAATGTTAGATATTTGAAGAAATGTTAGTTAGGAGGATATTAAAGTTAATTATTTATATAGAAGTAATTATTTGTCAAAAGATAGAAAAATTGTGTTGATTTTAATTTTATTATTATTTTTTTATTATTAAATCTTGTAATATTACAAATCTATGTTTTCTTGTAAAATCCATAAAATCCTTTAAAATCTTATAATATGAATCATCAAAATTCACTAAAATCTGAATTACAAAATCTTGATTAAAATTCAAGTTTTAAAAGTCTTTTCAAAAAATCTTAAAAATTATAACATTCTTATAAAGTCTTTTAAAGTTTACTAGACTTTTTTATGCTAAAATTATACACCAGGTTGGCATATAGATATGTGACTCAATATAGTTAGAATAGATGAGTGCCTCATCAACAATAATAAGTTGAAATTCCTTGGATAGTTCTTTAATCTAGAGAATTTCAATTGTAGTTGGGACACAAGTTTATAATCAGAATTGACCGAAAGAGTTTACACAACTTGTTAGATCAATCTTTGCAAGCACTAGAGCAGCAGGCTTCACTCTCCAAATTTATTGGCTATGACTTTACAATCGAGTAAAAACTAGGGAAA